AAATTTAAAAACTCTTAAGGCTATTTACATTTTATGTAACAATAGATCTCAATCATATAAATGGCGATAATTATGTTAAAAAAAGTTAATGCTTCACAAAAACTATAGATACTTTTTAAAGTGAGTGTTTCAAAAATAAAATCAACTATTTTTAAACTGATTGTTTTAAAAGTACTTTATAACAATAACATTTATTAAACGTTGTATTTTAATTTTTTTTTAGTTATAATACATTGATATTAATTAAATTTTCTTTTTTTTAATTTTCAAACAAAAACTCTCAAAAAAAGCAAATAATTATTAATATAATCTAGTTGTTGTTGCACATACGTGCACATTAAATAGATAATCTGTAGTATGACAATCTTCTAGCTGAATGCTGATTATTGAATAAATTCAATTATGGAATTAAAAAGCATAAATTAATTTAAAAACAAATTGCACTATTACAAATTCTAATTATTTAATTCACCAGGCGTCCTTCATTCTGTTGCAATTATTCACTTTGAGTAATTTTCGAGGTTAAGAACATAATATAGACGCAAAAATAGAATTTAACTCGCAAATAAAAACAAATTTTAAAATAATTGCGAACTAATAAAATATGCTTTCAATTAGATGATCGATTTTAGTTAAGGAAGACGGCAAATACTTATAAATAAATTGTTGGGAAACAATTTTTTTAATTTTGATATTTCTATTATAAACCAACTTGCATCTAGATGCAAAAAAGAATCAGTTCAAAAACTGAATTTTGGCATCGGATGGGTTTGAAAGAGCCTGCGAATGTTATGCAACCCTCGTTTGCACCACATAGAGGGATGGAATCGCTTTTGAGCTGTCTGCTAGCCTTGGCAGTGCACGTTTCCATCCGTACATGTATCGCACATGCACCCACTTATTGTTACACTCTGTGCCTGCCATATTCCGCGTGTTTGCAGAGCGGTTGGTTGGCTCAGTTGGCTGGCTTCGTGAGCGCGCCGGAAAATTGGGTTTGTTATCTGCCGCCGCTATTGTGCGTCCGAAAACGAGTTGCTTGCTTGGTGCTGGGCGTTTGCCAGATTTAACGAGACATATACCTGTCTTTTGAAGTGATGTATATTTTGTGTCGCACAACTATAGAGATAAGCAGCCCAAAAAGTTAAGAGCATTATGTCACTTTTCCATGGGAGTTGAATTTTTCACTTCGTTTCCATCCAATTTCAAAAGCTCCACAAAGAAAAATGCTTATTAAAGTTTTACAAATATTTCTTTGCACTTGCCAGTTTTGATTTTACATTATAAAAAAATTAAATCTGTTGAGAGCTTACTGAACGTTGCAGCGTTTAGTATTTTAATACAACCTGCTAATTTAAAATAAAGCAAGCTCTTAAAAAAACTCCTTAACTGAGCAGAGGGTATTGAGAAACAACATATCTGGATTTTTGTGCAAATTATGGAAGGATACGTTGATTTGAATGCAAACCGGGCACGAATTAATTAAATAAAAAATTATATTCGCGTTTTTGAACAAAATTCTTCACGGGTTTCTCAATAATTAAATCAATAACAACTTGATTTAATCAGTTAATTTAAGTTTCATGACAATTGTCAATTTATTATTGATTTTATAAAAATTCCGCCCATCGTCCTGATACAGCCTCATTAACATTTGACCTACTATTTTCTGTGAAATGATGGCTTTATTATTATTCTTGTGAGTCATCCACTATTTTTTTTTGTCAAGATCGATTTTCATTGTCATCGAACACAAAAACGAAGCCTTACGAGGCACTAAATATATAGAACTGCTGTTACTCTTCCAATAAGAAGTCCACTAGAGAGGCGCATTACTCTATAAAAAAGAGTCAAAGGCGCCGCAGGATTGCTGGCAATCAACTTGAGTAGCGAACCGCGCATTCATTCCTTGTGTCAGAACTTGGTAAGTAAGAGCAGTCTGCATTTCCAATAACCGCAGAATGAAGCGCAAACTTTGCTGGCTGTTTCTACCTGCACGAGCAGGCAATTCAATTCATGCATTAAGTTTTGAATGGAGTTGCTTGTGCCGATTGTTAAAGTTGTCACGCCGGCTTAATTTAATGTTGTTTCGCAACTGTTGCAGCGCGAAATTAATTTACAGCATCGACTGCTGATGTTGCCACATTTGCTAATTCCAAGTTGATGAGATGCATTTTCCATTAATGAAGCAAACAGAAATGTAGCTTTGGTTTTAAGTAATCACGTATTTGACTTAGTAAATTAATTGGGCATAAAGTTTGCTAATTGGCTCAAGGTCCTCGCAAAGAGTTTGCTCTTTAAAAAGTTTGACGCGGGATGAAAAAGCAGTCTCATGAAACTCTGCGGAAATTCTTCCACAAGGACGAGTTGTTCTTGTTTTTATTGCAGGTTGTCGAGAAAAAACTACTGCAGAGTGCTCTTTTCTTTGTGCGTCTGCGGAAAAAAAGCGCGGGTAGTTTCTGGCCCCCGATCTTTATCCAGACTCGTCGGGACGAACAAAGACGTGCATGTTTAAATTTTGCATGAGCTGGCAAGCCGAGTCGGCTGCCGAGCTGCAGACACGTGCTGAGGTAATCCCTAATGGAATCACGACTTTCTGCGCAACTACAGCAGCTATTAGGGTTGTGCAGATTAAAACGAATGGTCATGAAAAAGGCCGTTTAACAAATCCGCTAGCCACGGCCAGAGCATGTAATTTACTGAAATTAATTTATCTTTTAATGAGATCCGCGTTTTTGTTTAACTTTTCATCTGCTCAATATCAATTTTCTTTCCTCCAAAAGTCTTTAAAGCCTCATTTCCTTATTAGCTATTAGGTTTATCATACATTTTATGCAAAAAATGACTCTCATTAATGCATTCGGATTTCGGAGACCTTTTTTTTGCAAAACGATATATTTTTTATATTAATGTGGAAAATATTTACATTAAAAAGCGTTAAATATAATCAAATGGATCAAATGTAATATTATGGAAAAAAGTTTTCTTGTTTTTAATTGATTTTTCATAATGAATTCAGGAACAAAATTATATTTATTTGACAAATGCTACAAACTATTTATGATTTATGATTTGTGAGATGGTTAGGATAAAAACTGAAAAAAAGTCATTGAAAATGTGTTTAGTTTTTCAACTAACTTTTTTTTAACAAAATTTCCACGTAAACACGTAAATTTGAAAGATCTTGAATAATTAAATCGGAAAATATGTTTTCCCAGAAAAAATCTACTGAAAATTTTCCTCGGAAAAAGTTGCGAAATATCTTTCATTGTCAGAGCGTGCTAACGATCTGCACAGTCCGATGCTTGCGTAAGCAGAGAATAAAAAATCATCCGTCGCAACGTCTTTCAGCAGGTGCGAAGAAAAAATGGCACTGTCAGCCACCCCCGCGTTTTTCTCTCCCTCGTCTGCCAGCGAGGGGTTTGAAATGAATACACAAACCCAGTCAGCAGCGCGTTTCCCCGCGCGGCTCAAACTGTTGAAAGGCCCAGCAGCAGCAATCTCGCCTTTTCTCTCTCTCTTTTGGCAGGCAAATAGATTGCTTGATGCCTCTCTCTCAGTCAGCTGTTTACCACTTTTTCCGCACACACCTTTGTCGCCCAGAGAAAATTGGACCCTCGTCACCTCACCTGCTGCCGCCGTAGAGATTGAATTCGTGAAAAGAAGAGCTCGACTGTAATTGCAGCGGAATAGGGCGTTCCCTTTTATGTTCTCAACTCAAAAACGAGACTTTTCCTGCCTTTCGGCCTCTATTAGCGAAGAGGAAGACCAACAAATTAAATGTACGGCTCCCATCCGTGCTCACTTTGAAAGTGAAAGTCAATAATTTAAATCCTTTTTATTAGCAAATAGTAATAGCACCATGGAAATTTATTGAAATGCTTGTGATTCCAAGTATTTTTTTAATACCTTTTAAAATCAAAAAGTAATTAGGAAATGCAGTGGAGCCTATTTTTTGGTCTCACAAATATCAATTATAATTATGCAAAATGATTAATTAATGATTACAAGGAAAAGTATTACACGTATTTTAATTTTTCTTCCTCTTGGTTTCGTCTGATTACTTTGATTATTTTCAATAAATTTTATTTATATTTTTTTAAATAACCATTGAAAAAGTTTAAGTTTCATTTATGGGTTTTGTCACATTTCAATTGATTAAATTAAAATAATCTTTTTAGTACAATCAATCATATCATTCAAGTTGTAAAAATTTCAATTATAATTGAGAGCAAATGAATGATGTCTCTATTGTTTATAAAACAATAAGCTATCATAAAAATTACAACGCTATTAATCCTCCAAATTGTTATTCAAATTTGATAAATTTAGGCAAGGATTACTCTAATTTTAATCAATAATTGCACAATTGAAGAGAAGCCCTGCAATGCACATTTTAATCATAAACAGTGAAAGTCAAGCATTTTCAGCTATATTTTTCCAATATTGAGTTAAAACGAGTAAAAGGGCTCAGTATAAAACCGGTATTTTAACTCACAAATACTGGATTATCATTATTATACCAAACCATATGACAATGATTATGAAAAAATTAACACCAATTGGGCTATTATTAATTTCATAGTCGGAAAATTAAAACCATTAACTGTTACGCAACAGCGCAACACAGAGTATTTTTTCTTGCTTTTAATTTTTATTATTCTTCAAATATTGATCCAATTAATCAATTAATCAATCAATGATGCATAAATTCTCAAATTTCCCAAACAAATTCAATTTTGTATTTTACTTTCCCACATTGAAATTGCTGCGAATTCCTATGTATTTAAAATTCCTTAATTAAGCAAAGCTCCAAATTCACTATCTCGGCTGTCAAAATATGAAGTAGTCTTCAAAATTAAACTTGTAATTATTTTCAAACCAAAAAATGTGGCAAAAAAATTGAAATTTCAATGATCGAAAAATCGCGTAATTTTTTATGGTTTGTGTCAAAAGATAGGTTTGTTGTGCAGCTAAAATGAGAGCGAAAAGTTTGTACTGACCGAGGGCGAGGTTAGGATTCCGATGGCCTCGCTGAGATGCCTGAGGTTGAGGGCGGTGGCGGCGTTGTGCGGCGGTTCGGCGTCGACGCTGGCGGGCCGCGCGATGATCTGGGCGCCCGAGTTGTTTCGGCTGAAGGGACACGCCATGCTTAGGAGGCCATGGTGCAGCAACGGGTCGGTCTGTCGGGATGCCTTCGAGCCCACGCCCGCACGAGCACTGAGAGTGTTTGCGGCCGCGAGGCGCCCAGGCAGGCGCACTACTTGCGCCTCCGCCGCGCTTTGTCCCCGAACGAGCCAACGTGGGCCGTGTGGCTTTATTACGACCCGACCGAGCCACCGCTGGACAAACAAAGGGATGAGAAAAGCTGTTTGGGATATTTTCGCGTGCCACCCGTCGAGCTCCACCAACCGTAGTTTAATGAAAACGGCTGGCTGATTATAATCCTAGGTGGTGCAGATTTTGACACTTCTTTGTTTGCCTAAAATAATAATTTAATATTTTTAATTGTAACTAAAATTTTCATTTTTATGCTTAATATTATTGCAAAAAAAAACATAAGTATATGTATTAATTTTTTATTACATTTTTTTTATGTTTATTTAAACAACCAAATTATTTTAAATTTTATTATTTTAAAATCAAAATTGTTTTATACAATTCTATTTTTTAATTTATGTTTAAAATTTTAAAATATTTTATTTAATAATTTAATAATATTATTTACTTTAAAGTCTATAATAATATTATTATGGGTGATTAACTGATTTAAAACAAATCAAAGTCCTACGATCCACATTGAATTGATATGAACAAATTATTATTTTGGTGATTGATGAAATATATATTATTTGAAAGGATCAAATTAAATCAATTGAAATACAAAATTCTTAAAATTGCATGATCTGTTCATGATGAGGTATAGTCTATTACTATTAAGTAGTCCTCCCAGGATAACCATGTTTAAAGCAATGTTATCCTGGGACGACTACGGAATAGAATATCCCCTAGATACAATTAGTTGTAAAATCAATCTGCTACTACATTATGTTGGAATATAAATTACAAAATTATTCCTTATAGAGATTAATTTTTTAAAGTCAAAATGTACATTGTGCAAAAACGTGAATTTACACGACGCTCAGGAAAAACGCTTTGCCTGTAATAATTGTTGTTGGGGTAAATAACGTATGCAGCACGGCGGACACGTATAATTACACTTGGCGGTGAGAATGCCGCCGAGTTTCTGTTGGCCAATTTACATTATTTGCTCGCATTCCGTCACAACGGTGGCATCGCGCTTATTAAATTAGTCGCGTCGCAATCACGAATAATTCCGCATTATTATTTGCGCTGCCGTCCTATGGCTGATTAACTGGTGCATGTAGAGAGGATGCTCTCAATACCGATTGATTGCAACGTACCATTAGCAATGGTCACTAATGCAAGGGTGGCGTCACAATCAGGGCGTATCGTGTTTGGTTAAAAAGGTGCATTCTGAAAAATAAAATATTAAAATAAAAATTAAATCGCACTCAATTTAAATTCCCTGGTTTTTATATAACTAAGCAGAAAATAATAATAAATAATTATTAATTGATTAGATTATTGTGAAAATCAATTACAAATAACTTAGAATGTGGATTTTGAACTAAATTTGACTGACTTGGAGGCTTAAAAGAAATTATTTTCCAATATATATTTTCACCACTGAATTAAAGGTTGTATGATATAGATCAAAAGGCAATAAATATTAGTAGATCAATATTATGGATTTTATTTTGTGGGTACTGATGGGCTAAGGCCAAGATATTCACTGTTTTGTCTTCACATGGTGACCTCTGGATAAAAACGCCTGGTGAAAATTTCAAAACAATAAAAATAGTCCGGAGAAAAACAGATTCAACACAAGTTTGTTTTGAAATTATTTCCTTTTTTTAGAAGTTCCATGAAATATTTTATTACTGCAGATCAGAGGTCATGTTCTCGCTATAAGCTATAATTGATAAAATTGAAAATTAACATTTTTAATGAAAGCCTTGTCAATTTAAAACACACACTTAACTAAGTAAGAGTTCAATGAGCAGGAAAACGTCGAATCTCTGTAGCTAGGCGTTTGGACAATTCTCTTTATCTGCCGTTGTCACCCGGCGCGAGTCTTTCATTCTGTTTCTTTCAAATCGCTTTTTGCCGTCGCCCGTCTCGCACAAAGGCGGCCCTGATTTTGCGACACCCGGCCTAGCTGTTTTGAGTCGGCCTGCCAGATTGCAACGCATGTATATTTATGAAATCGTATATGCCGGTCGAAAGCAGGGAGGAAGCGAGAGAGCGACCCGGTGCCAAAGTCGCAGAGTCTGTTTCGCAGAGGCTGCACAATAATATTTGCCTCTCTGGCGTGTGTGGGAGGCCAACATTTTAATGCTGAGTCCGCTGAGCACTGACAGATTTAACCAGCAATACATCAAAGTATTATGCGCGCGGTGCAGCATCACAGAGCGTATGTGAAGGGTGGATGGGAAATTGGGAATTTGAAATTCAAATGCAAGCGCAGCCCGGAAGTAATGTGGAATTGGGTTTGTGCTTGCAATTTTGAAAGTATTAATTTGAACTTTTGTAGGTTACATCTAATGAAATACAATGCAAAGCAGTTTAAATTCCATCAAATTGTCATTGTTGCATCTTTTATTTTTTAGGAGAAATGTACACAGTAGTATGTAAGGAAGTAAGTAGGGTACTCACTACCGGTTTCTGATCACGACACTTTTGGAGAGGGATGCGGCCGGCCGGCCGCGCGGGGCGGAGCCTAATTATTTGGAGTGTTGTCGAAAGGGTTGGAGCGCGACTGACTGACCACGGCGATTTTTACCTGGCGCGGATATAGGGCTGACGTTCGGCAGACGGTGTGCGTTCGGCGGCCGACTTTAGTTGCCAGCCTATACAAAAATATATTTACGCGTTTCTGGTCACGGGGATTTTCACTTGGTAAGAAAAACGCACGGGCGGGCGTTCGGCAGGCGGCGGTCGACTTGGTTGCCGAAGAGTGTCGTCTGCCTATTTACAGTCGACGGCGCGCGGGGCTGCTCGGCGGCTGATTTCGTTGCGGGAGAGAATACGCGTTTCTTGCCGCGGGCACGGCTCGGCGGGCGATCTCTGTTGTCGCTTTGGGATGATTTCACCTGAGTTTGCGAGCGACGGAGAGAAGATTTTCGGTGGAGAGCGATCTCGGCGGCCGTGTGTAATCAGGAGCGAACCCGGCACGACTCCTAAACGACATAACGAGTTAACATTTGAATTATGTGTGCAACAGAATTAAATTTTCAAGGGAGATATTTTTGAGAGATATTATGTCTATACAATATTTAATTTTGGTTAATTAAGAAATTAGAAAAAATTGATTCAAATAAATTTCAGGACAATAATAATTAAAAAGAATAAAGTATTGTGATTTAAGAAATGTATAATGGAGCAAATGATTTAAAAAAAATTTGTTATACGCCGGATTTATAAAATTATGTGGGGAAAAAAATTTATTTTCTTTTGGTCTGGTTTTGGTAGTATTTGAGAAAATTACAAATTTAGTGAAATTTATTTTCAGAGCAAATACGCCTCGTCCAAAAGAATTGATAGGTGTTTTATCCCGCGGCGCGCCAAATCTGGAACCTTCGAGAACATTTCACAAGATGTGTAAAACGTGAATCACCGCCACCTGATGGGGATGGCCGTGGCGTGTCTCGGCGGGCTGTGTGGGGGCGCCGGGTTAAATCACGAGCGGACTACTAAAAATACAAAATAAAATTGTTCAAGCGAGATTCAATAACATTGTATTGAATTTGGTGCTGATGCAGATTTTAGGAATTTAACTACAAAATAGGATTGATAAAATAAATCAATTAAAAAAACTGGTCATATAACATTAAATGAGAAATATTTTGTTTTGATTAAGAATATTTGAGAAAAATTACGATTACAATTACAGTGAAATTTTCTTGTGCGGGGTTGAAATCTGGGTGAGGTGCGCGCGGAGTGATAGTATGGAGTTTTTTCTATAATCGGGCGTTCTGCTGTGCGGCGTGTTTCTGTTATTTTTCCAGCAAGGCATGGGGATAGAGTGCGCTCGCTTTACCGGTCGCTTTAACCTGCCTATTATCGGGGGAAAACGTCCTGCCGTTGTTTTTGACACTTTTTAATAGAGCTAATGCATTATTTCAACTTTATTTATTTATTTATTCTCCATTCAGATACAATATGTAAAACACAACATCTTAATTAAATCAAGTCAATACACAATATTAAATTACGCCAGTTAATTTTTAAGAGCAACACACAGATTTAATGAACGAAACTAAAATATTTTATTGATATAATATTTAAAAATTCATGATTAAAATGAGTTTTGAAGTATTTTACGCATGAAAAACGCTGCAAATCAATGTTTATACAAAATTATAAATATTTTTACACACAAATTCTGCTTCCTCGGTGCGTCTCAATCTGATTTGGACGACTGCAAATGCCTGAATTTGGCAACTTGATCGAAAGCGCGAGTAGCGATTTAATTTTCTTCTGAAAAGTTTAATCATTTTCAAACGAGTTTTAATTCTTGAGAGTATTATTGTTGTTTATTTGTCCACACTGTTACAAATACATGATTTATACATTCATGTAAGCTTCCATTGTTGAAAACAATTCATTTAAAAAAAAAAAAAATTGTTGCACAAAACGGTACCACCAGTGGAAAACGTTTTGCTAAAACCTACGATATCGAAAAGACCTCATACGCTGTATTGACTTCCAGGCTTAAAAACATATCATCGATTTGATTCAGTCTTCGATTCACTTTCGTCATTAAATCAATCGGATAATTAATTTTCATTTGAAGGTAGATTTTTCAAAGTTTTTATCAATTTTTGCACAAATGTGTCACATTCAATGGGTTGCAGCGGACAGTTTCAAAACTCTATTTAATAACTATCGCATGGTCGCATAAATTTCTTATTTTCTCCTTAAACAAAATAAGTAACGCATTTTTTGAAATAAAAACTAATGAAATTTTTCTCCACATTTTTTAAAAGCATTTACGAAATATTTATAAAATATTTCTTGCCTTTTTGGAAATATTTTTTTCTTTTTTAAATGTTATTCTTATGTAAATTGTTGATTTTTGTTTTTATTTTCTAAAAGAAAATATATATTTTTTACACGAAAAGAGAACAAAAAATTCATTTTTATAAGCACGGGAAAAAGAGAAACCAATAACATTTGTTAGTTGCGCAATTTCCCGTTCAAATTTATTTAATTTTGATATAAGCTAAATTATACATTTACAGTATAAAGCTTATGCAAAAAAGGTCAATAAAGAGAATTGGTAATTATTGAGAGCGAAAAATTTGGCCCATGTAATAAAACTGGTTTTCCAACAAATATTTTTTCACCTTCATTACACCCATGACGAGAGTGACAAGCCCACAACGTAAAATACTATGAAGATGAGCCGAGTCTTTGGTCTTTTATGAGCGGGAACCTTAAGCATGCTGAAGAATTTTTCGTCAATATCGGTCCAAAATCCTTCACTCGGAGAACACGGTGAAATGCGAAAATTCAAAATGTCACCCTGAACTGGAGCAAACGTGCCCTGACCAATATCAAGATCATGAAGAGTCTCTGGTTTACGGCGAGCTTGACTGTGTCATCAAAATAGAGCTCCACAAAAGCAAAGAACGCAAAGAACGTTGAGCACCAACTTATTCACTAATGCCTCCTTGGTATTGATAACTGCAATTCAAGACTTACGTTACTAAAAATAAAAAGTATTGAATTTCTCTGCCAAAAAAAAAAAAAAAATTGGCCTTATTGCTAAATGGTATGATTATTCAATTTAAAAAGCGTTATTTTTACGTTTTAAACAACTTTTCATTTATTGAATATTCAATGGAGCATACAGTTTGTGCAATATCAATGATTATTTTATAGTATTTTATGTTACCATCAATGTCTTAGGCACTATTTAATTGATGTTGAATCAAACAAATTGAATCATACACAAATTAAGCAATCCTACATAGAATTACCTATATAAATCAGGCATATAATCTTCATTTCCATGAAAGCTCTATTTACATATCCATTGTGCAGTCTGAACGAGATACAAATCTCATAGAAAGTAAACTTTTAAATTGCTTAAAATTTACATAGAATCAACTAAACGATTAAGGAAAAAAAGTTTCATCTCCATGAAAGCTCTGTTTACGTCCATCGAACAGTCTGAACGAGGTGTGTAGTCCAACTCTTGTAGGTGCAGTGTATTCATATACTTTTCAAGGTAAATCAGGTCTGCTGGGTCTTCATTGGAAAAACGTGTCTTGCAGTGCTCAAGCAACGCCTCATACAAAAGCTGGGCTTCTTCGGCCCATGCTTCGCGCTGGTTACACAGGTTCATCAGTAACCCCATCATGTTGTAGACACAAGACCAAATATGACCATTTATGGTTACTTTGCGTTTATATGTCGAGTCTTCTTCTTCATATAGAAAGGTTATTACACGGTAGCCGTCCAACGTGTGAAGCTCTGCAGACGTATCAGGCCCCAAATTAATGTATTCCCCTCCTTCATTTTCCCCATTGAAGTAGGAATCAATGTACAACATGTAGTCACACAAATATTTAAACGCATGGTGAGGCAGTTTTACACCCTGCTCTCCTCTGGGTGCCAAAAGCACCGTGGGAAAGAATTCAAAGTCAGAGTCCATTGCAACTGTAACATGATGCGTAGCAAAGTTGCCTATAACGTAGTTACAACGCAGAATAGCAGGGCTCTCTGCATGGTATATCCTTTGCTTCTTTTTCTTAGGTGGGGTTCTTTCAAGGTCAGCCAGGTCGGAGGCTCTTTTTTCTTGCTTTTTAACTTTTGCCTGCCTCATGACCCTGAACAAGCTCTTTGGCGTATCAACCACTATGTTTGGTCTTTTAGTAGCTACACGTACATGATGATTTTTTGGTTTAACAATCTGGCCTCTGGCATCCATGATGCTTGAAGTACAATAATCAAATGAAAAGAGCTATCAAGAAACACATTATATGTCTGATAACAATCCCCCTCTACTTGTGGACTCCTCCTACGACCCCCTTGTATTTAAATTTACTATATTAATATATTGCAAAGTGCCAAGAAAAACTAAATAGAAATATATTTCGAGGTTCAGTTGCAAATTTTACATTTGAAAGTGCATTTTCATGAAAAGTTTTATTGGTACAATAATATTTTACAACGACCCAGCAAGATCAAATTGGCAAAATTTTTTCATCTCCATGAACGCTCTGTTCACATCCATCGTGCAGTCTGCACTAGGAGTAAAGTACAAATCATGAAGATTTACAGTTTTCAAAAACTTTTCAAGTTGAGACATGTCTGTTAGGTTCTCTACATTTTTATTATACGCCCTGCAATGCTCAAGCAGCACCTCGTACAAACGTTTAGCCTCATAGGTCCAACCTTCACGCTCGCTAAACACATGGTCCAATAGGTCTAGCATATCGGTGATAAAGGTCCAAGTTTGCTCCTGAATAGTTACGTTGCGAGTATCGTTAGTGTTTATGGCAGCTGCAAGCGTCATTACTCGTTTCTTATACTGAGTTCCAAACTCCAAGGTGATATCATTGTCCAAACTGATAACTTGGCTGCCATCGTTTCGCCCATTGAAATAATCTTCAATGTAAAACCTTGCATCGCAAAGAACCTTAAAAGAGTAGTATGGCATCTTGATTCCAGGTTTTCCAGTTTTAGCCAGTGTTACTGTAGGATGAAACTCCAAAGTGGGATCCATTGCAACCACAATCTGTTTGCTGGCAGAGCGATTGGCAGGATAAACGCAACGCATAATATCTCGGGTCTTGTCGAAAACCTCGTAGTCTGGCTTCGATTTCTTTCTTTCAGCGTCGGAGGCCTGCTTGAATGTTTTGTAGTCCATATTGGGTGGAACTTTTGGCTGGTCCTTCCGGAAGCGCTTGATAAATTTCATAGGAGTGGTTGGCTCAGTTCGGTTGTACCTTGTTGTAGCATACCCTTGGGGAGGCCAGCTATCAGGGATATCCCCTACGTCACACATAGTGTTGTGGCCGTTGGTGTACATGATGTTTGCACCACAAACCTCAAAGGAAAAGTGATTTTCTTTCTGTGTTTCCTTCCATTATACAAGTTCCCCCCCCCCCCCTACTGTTTAGGCTCAACCCACTTTCCAATAAAATATTTAAAAACTGTCTCTGCGAAATGCTTTACCTTCAAGCTGTTTTATTACTCATTTAAGTTCTCTGCTATCCATTTGGCCAGAAACTGGGCATCTGTTTCGGCACAATGGGCAGTCGTCTTGGAGTGGAGACTACAAGCAGGTCCTAGATTTCGACGCATGTTAGGACATCCAAGACGTGTCAAGTCTTCCACAGGTTTGCCAATTATCTCGGTAAAGTAAAGTGCTTTCTCGTGGCCCATGGTGTATATTTTTTCATAAGACAACGTTTTGCAGTACAGTAGATAGTGGAGATCAGAAATATCCACATCACCAGCATACCAATCAAGATTGTGATAGTTTCTAGTCGCCCAGCCAATAAGAATTCTTTCTTTGCGATGAAGGTCACTCAAGGGTTTGGAAGGTTTCACATAGTATTTTGAGACCGTCTTTGGAGTTATGACCACAACCTCTTTTGGAATCAGTTTCCTCTTCAAATTTTGGAAACTCTGAAGTTCAAGAACGCAAAACATTTTTAGACGAAATACACTTGAAGAGAGTGTTTGATTCTAAAGCTGTACGTTTGATAGAGATGTAGAGGTGGCTGGTGGCTGTTTGAATCTAGTTTTTATACTGAATGTGTATGTTACGGGAGCGATCCACTTCAATGCAGTCAGGGAACTCTGCATAAATAATGAGATTGACCACGCATGGGAGGGGCTTAGCAAAACCTAGCTCGATACGACAGCTGCCCTGATTTTCAATAGAGAGGTGTGATTCGCAACTGCTCAAGTCTCCAGTCAAATCATAACAGTAAAGGGCGTAACCTTTGTCAAAATCTTCCCGGTCCACCTCAAAGCCATCGTCAGTCATATGAATGCCAACTCCGTAAAATGAAAACAGATATGGCCGTATGGATCTGCCTGATTCAAAATTTGGTTTGTAAGGTGCAGCCCCAACCGTTTGCCCATTGACACTCAGTGCAATATAATTCATGTCAAAGTGTTCAAAGTTGAACGGGCTCTCTGTGTAACTGCCAGAGAATGCGCTATTTTTCACCAGTCCAAAAATTAGTCTTGAGGGGATTCTGTTCAAAAACAAATTGTCCACACATTTCTGTTGCAATCCAGAAGAAATTGTAAAATTCAACATCTCCACACGTTTGTAATTGTAACGTGCCACCGCAGATTCCAAAGTCTGGGCGTGTGCAACCAGGATTCCAGGATTGATTTTCACTTTTCTGACATACAGAGCTGCCTCTTGAATATCAATTTGAGGAACGATTTTTGAATCTTTGCCTGTGAGAAGCACCATGCTTGCTGGATTTCTAGTCAGAGTTACTCTCAAATCTACGTTATTTAATAAATATTTTCCTGCAGCAAGCATGTCACAGTGCAATTTTCCTAGAACCTCCACCTCTTTACCGTCCACCACAAAAGATTTTCGCTTCTTGTTGGGTACGGAAGTTAAATCATTAAAGGCACCTGCAGTGTCTTGATAGTACAAAGCACTGGTAAGATGAGTTTTCTTTGCTGTAGCGTTGAAATTGTACGAAAGTTCAAGGTAGCTTCTATAGTGATTCATGTGATTAGAATGTGAAACCGTGGTCTGGTTGAACTCCAGCTTGACATCAGCAAACAAGGTGTTGAGAACATTATTTTTCAGGGAAAATTCAGCATCTGCATCCAGTTTTTCACCAGTGAGAGAGTCTGTAACCTTAAATCGGACGTACAGCAGAGTTTTATTCAAATCAAAATAGCTTGAGCCTTGTCCAGGTACAGAAAACTGAATAGGGCCATCTTTTGTTATTGCTTGCACTGGTAGGTAATTTTGCCAGTCACCACCGATGACACTAGTTTGAATAAGCGATGGCTGAAATATGTCCAACTCGCCGACCATTAACTCCATGGCTGTATATTGAAAATAAAAATATCAAGCTTGCGAGATTAACTTTGTTCCTGATACTTTTGGATCTTTTTGACGTCCTCCTCGAACGCTTCACAAATACAGAGTGACAGCGTGAGCGCACTTCTTTCATTTATACCCTCGTGGGTGTATATGCGAGCGCATCATCTGGACTTCACTTGTATAGATCATTGAAAAGTCGCAACATCTCACGCATCTAACAATTGTTCTTGGTTTCTCTTTTTTCCCGTGCTTATAAAAATGAATTTTTTGTTCTCTTTTCGTGTAAAAAATATATATTTTCTTTTAGAAAATAAAAACAAAAATCAACAATTTACATAAGAATAACATTGAAAAAAGAAAAAAATATTTCCAAAAAGGCAAGAAATATTTTATAAATATTTCGTAAATGTTTTTAAAAAATGTGGAGAAAAATTTCATTAGTTTTTATTTCAAAAAATGCGTTACTTATTTTGTTTAAGGAGAAAATAAGAAATTTATGCGACCATGCGATAGTTATTAAATAGAGTTTTGAAACTGTCCGCTGCAACCCATTGAATGTGACACATTTGTGCAAAAATTGATAAAAACTTTGAAAAATCTACCTTCAAATGAAAATTAATTATCCGATTGATTTAATGACGAAAGTGAATCGAAGACTGAATCAAATCGATGATATGTTTTTAAGCCTGGAAGTCAATACAGCGTATGAGGTCTTTTCGATATCGTAGGTTTTAGCAAAACTTTTTCCACTGGTGGTACCGTTTTGTGCAACAATTTTTTTTTTTTAAATGAATTGTTTTCAACAATGGAATGCTTACATGAATGTATAAATCATGTATTTGTAACAGTGTGGACAAATAAACAACAATAATACTCTCAAGAAATAAAACTCGTTTGAAAATGATTAAACTTTTCAGAAGAAAATTAAATCGCTACTCGCGCTTTCGATCAAGTTGCCAAATTCAGGCATTTGCAGTCGTCCAAATCAGATTGAGACGCACCAAGGAAGCAGAATTTGTGTGTAAAAATATTTATAATTTTGTATAAACATTGATTTGCAGCGTTTTTCATGCGTAAAATACTTCAAAACTCATTTTAATCATGAATTTTTAAATATTATATCATTAAAATATTTTAGTTTCGTTCATTAAATCTGTGTGTTGCTCTTAAAAATGAACTGGCGTAATTTAATATTGTGTATTGACTTGATTTAATTAAGATGTTGTGTTTTACATATTGTATCTGAATGGAGAATAAATAAATAAATAAAGTTGAAATAATGCATTAGCTCTATTAAAAAGTGTCAAAAACAACGGCAGGACGTTTTCCCCCGATAATAGGCAGGTTAAAGCGACCGGTACAGCGAGCACACTCGATCCCCATGCCTTGCTGGAAAAATAACAGAAACACGCCGCACAGCAGAACGCCCGATTATAGAAAAAACTCCATACTATCACTCCACGCGCACCTCACCCAGATTTCAACCCCGCACAAGAAAATTTCACTGTAATTGTAATCGTATTTTTTCTCAAATATTCTTAATCAAAACAAAATATTTCTCATTTAATGTTATATGACCAGTTTTTTTTAATTGATTTATTTTATCAGTCCTATTTTGTACTTAATTTCCTAAAATCTGCATCAGCACCAAATTCAATACAATGTTATTGAATCTCGCTTGAACAATTTTATTTTGTATTTTTAGTAGTCCGCTCGTGATTTAACCCGGCGCCCCCCACACAGCCCGCCGAGACACGCCACGGCCATCCCCATCAGGTGGCGGTGATTCACGTTTTACACATCTTGTGAAATGTTCTCGAAGGTTCCAGATTTGGCGCGCCGCGGGATAAAACACCTTATTCAGAAATAATACCTATCAATTCTTTTTGACGAGGCGTATTTGCTCTGAAAATAAATTTCACTAAATTTGTAATTTTCTCAAATACTATTAAAACCAGACCAAAAGAAAATAAATTTTTTCTCACATAATTTTTTAAATCCAGCGTATAACAAATTTTTTAAATCATTTGCTCCATTATACATTTCTTAAATCACAATACTTTATTCTTTTTAAATATTATTGTCGTGAAATTTATTTGAATCAATTTTTGTCTAATTTCTTAATTAACCAAAATTAAATATTGTATTGACATAATATCTCTCATAAATTTCTCTTGAAAATTTAATTCTATTGCACACATAATTCCAATGTTAACTCGTTATGTCGTTTAGAGCCGTGCCGGGTTCGCTCGTGATTACACACGGCCGCCGAGATCGCTCTCCACCGAAAATCTTCTCTCCGTCGCTCGCAAACTCAGGTGAAATCATCCCCGCGCGACAACAGAGATCGCCCGCCGAGCCGTGCCCGTGACTAGAAACGCATATTCTCTCCGCCGGCAGAGATCAGCCGCCGAGCAGACCCGCGCGCCGTTGATCGGAAACGCGTAAATAGGCTGGCAACCAAAGTCGGCCGCCGAACGCACGCCGTCTGCCGAACGTCAGCCTTATATCGTATCCGCGCCCTATATCCGCGCCAGGTAAAATCGCCGTGGTCAGTCGGTCGCGCTCCAACCCTTTCGACAACACTCCAAATAATTAGGCTCCGCCCCGCGCGGCCGGCCGGCCGCATCCCTCTCCAAAAGTGTCGTGATCAGAAACCGGTAGTGAGTACCCTACTTACTTCCTTACATACTACTGTACACAAACTTTTAATATAATACATGAATTTTCCTGTAATATTTTTTCAAATTTGCAATACCAAGAGCCTTCCTTAAAATCGTTAAAAACATTTTTTAAACATTTGGATTCCTATATGTTCTATTCTAATTATTGCATACAAATTCGAAAATCAGATTTTTTCCCAATTTCGCTTTACAAAATTCTCTTTTTACTTTTTATTTCGATTTTATTTACAGAGAATGATGACCACTGATTGTGAGTGAAATGATAAATTAAAAACCTGCTGGAAAAATATGAGAGAGCATTTAAAACCATTTCGGCCATGGCCATTCCATTCACCGCATCATTGGTTTCGAGGCACGCCTGGAATTTTATTTGCTCTGCCTGAGAATAATTGCCGCAATTGAAATGCATTAATTCGCCCACACACAAAGGGTCGCACAGAATAAATGGAATATAAATTCAACAAAATCAATAAAAAGAGCAGTTCGTTGTGAAATTCTCCCCCAATTAGAGCATGTTTTGTTGAGAGCAATTATCTTTAAGTTCAAGTGTCAGAGCATTTGACGCGGCAAAACTTGTGCTAAATTAAATTAAACCGCAGCCCCTGCTCGAGAATGCCACCCTTGAGTGCATGCATGAGGGTGTGTCGTCGGCCGAGAGAAGGGTGCGATTGTCGCTTTCGCCTCGGCGAAAGCTGCTTGCATTATTCACGAAAATCTAATGTCGCCGCCGCAACGAAACGGGGCCAAGAGTTTGCGTCGGACACCCCCGGGGGAAATTTGTAAAGAGGCAGGCGGACTGCCCTCGCGAGAAGAAAGTAGGCTGCGCCGCCGAGCTCGGCTGCTGCTTGCCCAACAGGATTTTAATCAAGATGCTGCGGCTGACCAGAAGTTGTTTCTCCAGCCAAAATCGGATTAACATTTATCTACTTTTTTAATGCTTAACAAAAGAAAAGGGAAATTTCTTTATTATTTGTTTCACAATTTAACTAGGTTTTTACTGAGGTTTTTAAATATTTAAGAGAGCACCCTCATTACCCCTAATTTTCCCCTGGAGAGTTCTACCAAATATTTGCACTAGATTTGTTTTTATTAGCTTTTTTTCCACAAAAATAAATTATATTTTGATGAATATTGGATACAACTATAAGTTGCGGAAAAATCAGCAACATTTCAGCATAAAAGTCTAAATTCAAAAGATTTTAATAAAAACGAAAAGGGATCGTAGATAATAGATTAACTATAACTATACCCATTTTTAATCAAAAATTGTTTTAATTTTTTATGAACTGTAATAACCATATTTTTTTGTATAAAATTTACTTACTTTGAAGTTCTCCTGTTATTGCGTCTTATCATAAACTATATATCAATCGAGCTATTAAAAGAGATGCTAATTTTTTAGTATGTAGAGAGACTGATTTTGAGACAATAGCAACAAAAATTTTTAATCTTCGATTTATAAATTGAAGGTAAATTGTTATAGATACAAAATTTGATCAATATATAAACGATATAAACAAACAAACGAGTTTTTTTTTTTAAATTAAACTACTAAAAAAGATATTTAAATATTTCAAAAAATATGTTTCAAAAATAAAATAAACTTCAAATTTTTTTGTGGGATAAAATTTAATTTACATTATGCACTTTTAAATTTTCATTTATTTGTACAAATAATGTTAAATGTGGGAAATGTTTGATTTCTAGATGAAATTAATTAAAAAGCAAGTTCCTCACGTTACAATTTTCATTTTTGCTGACATGCCTAAAAATAGATCATTACATAATTTACCTTTATTCATTCCTCCTATTTCTAAGAGTTAACATTTAAATATTTTAGGAAAATTCATCATCCGCACCAAAAGCAGCTAATTTGATGCACAAAGGAGAAAATGAGAAGGTGGCATGCCGCAGCATTCCAACTATGCACCCTTTGCAGGAAAATTTGAGCTTGTACGGAGTGGGAGCATGGAAAGTTTTAGGAGTAACAATAAACTTTCAACTGCGCTTCAGGTCACAAAGTCTTTGAATTTCGAATTTTATGATCAAAAAACTTGAAGGCGGAGGAAATGAAACGGATGAGAGGAGGAAAGTATAACGCAAAGTCAGGTCTTTGTTTACTCCGGAATGAGATTATGCTCATCATCTCGTCCGCTTTTCTTAAATACGCGCTCGCGAGACGGGCAAAATAAATTGCGCCGGAGCAGCAGAAGAATGACATTTACGAGCGTGTTTGCAGCAATTTCAGGCCCGTTATGGCGCACACAGTGAATTTAAACTCGGGCCGAACGAACGAACGAAAGAAAGAAAGGGTTGGCTTGTGTGTTTACATGGAGTTTCACAAATAACAAGAAGCACCCCATCAACTTATCAAGCGTGCGCGCCGCCATGGGATTGGGAAAAAGGAGAAAACGAAAAGATGTGCAGTTGGCGCTGTTCCAGCCTCCGCTCGATGGAAAGTGGGCCAGCTTGCTACGAGGGCGCACCCCCACGATATCTCTAAAGAAAAATGATAAATTATTCAATTCGCAAACTCCTGCGGGGAGATCGCGAGATGCACTTCTTCTTATTCTTCGAGAATAATACATCTTAATCTCCTTACCAAGTAAATTTACTTGTTCCAGAAAAATTAGGTTGTATTATGCCTTGAATTAGGTTAGAATGAGAGAATATTTTGGCTCTGTACCATTATCCGAATCCGGAAATCCCTAAAATCGATTGCACTCCAAAGTACGTAGGAGGACGAGTGCAGCAAAAATATAAAAAATAAGAGTATGACCGAAATAAAGAAGATATAGTTTATATTTTTATTGCATTCATTTGAAGGTCTGGAAAAACACAAATAATTTGGAAATATTTCTGCTTAAAGATAATAATATTGCATAAAACTTTTCATTTTTCCACTCAATATATTTAATCAAATGGCGTTTTGTTTTATGTACTTAATATTTTCCAATGAAACACTATTTTTACATGATTAATCATTTATCCCTGGAAATTATAATTATAATGTGTGATAATGAAAGCCAAGTACCAGGAGTTTAAATGTATTTTATTTTGTTTATAATATCAGCGCAGATTGCAAGAGGATAATTATCATAATTATATGTTAGTGAAAAATGAGACTAAGGCAAACCACAAACAAATATCAGATTGCGTGCCACGTGCCACTATAATTATAACAAGAAAATTATGAAAAATATTTATTTAATATTATACTTAAAAATTATTTTAAATATCAACCACACATTTCAAATGATTTTATGGATTTTTATCAAATGCTGACTGCTGTCTCATTCCATCTGCATCTGCACCCCCCTCCCCTCTAGTTTCACAAATTCCATTCCACAAGCAAAATCCCCACTCTTTGTAAAATGTTTTTCTCTCTCTTCTCTTATTACACTAGGTGCGCGGAGTGCTTATATACACACACATGTTTGCGTATATAACACAAAATATAAAATGTATACTGTATGTAATTAGGTAAAGACGCTGGTGGGGATACGACGCATTCCTCTCACTAATCTCACTTCGCAATTCGCATTTGACTCGAATCGAAATTGTTGACTTGAGCGGACGTGTTCGGTCGTCCATCAACTCCATCACTTTTCCTTTTGCAGACACCGCACGAGAAAAAACAATGGTTGACTATCTGCGGTCAGCGTTTATGTCGATTTTCGGCAACCCAGAAGCGGAGGAGCTGAGGAAGGACGTTGACAGCCTGAAAATCGACAAGACGAGGTCGGAATCCGAGATCAGGAAGCAGAAGAAAGCCCTGGACGCGATGAACGCGCGTCTGAAAACGACAGATCGGCTCTACCAGCAGACCGTGGTTGAAAATCTTCAGTTGAAGGACAAGGTTGAAGACCTGAATGAGCAGCTCTGCCACTACCAAGAGACCCTGGCCGAGAATCGGAAATTGACAGAACAGGTTTACTCGAAGAATGCAAAACTCTTCAATCAAAAAGAAGCGACCCTGGTCGAGAACAAGGAGCTGAAGGACAAAATCAAACTGTTGCAAGAGCAGCTGCAAGATTTAAGGATCAAGTTCGAAGACCTTAAAGTGCAGAAGGGCACCTTCGAAGAGGCCTTCAACAAAAATCAGGCCAAGATAAATAAGGTTGGTTTGAAACATATATTATTAAATTGTCAGTTTAAGAATATTTTTTTTATACATAAAATTCCCAAAATTTCATCAGCAATAAAAGTGACTAGAATTATTGAACTTATATTCTTATGTTTTTGGTGTTCTTGCTAAAATTGAAATTATTTTCAGTTGATTGAAGAGGCGAGGGAAGCGGCCACCCTGAGCAAGAAGGAAACGAGCAGCCTGAAGCATCAGCTGGAGGTGGTGGAGTCCGAAGCCAGGGCCTCCATTTGCGAAGAGCTGCTGGCCAAAGAGCAAGTGGAGAAGGAACTGAAAGCCCTCAGGGTCAGTTTCAAGGAGGCCCAGCAAACAGCTCGCAACGAGATTGCCCTTCTGCAGACCAAACTGAAGCAGAATGAGGAGGACAGGAAGGCGGCCAAGTCTCTCAGGGAGGAGGCCACAAAGTACTGGAAGGAGGCGACGAAAAACTGGCGAGAAGTGAAGCGGACCAAGGAGATCATCTCGCAGAAAAAGAGCACCATGGACAAGGATTTGAAAGACCTGAAAAGGCGTTTGATGGAAAAGTGTCAGGAAGTCCAGAGGCTGCGCAAGGAGGTGGAATCCTTGCAGAGCTCTCTCAAGTCTAAAAGTGGCACCTAGAATTAGGAACAAAACAATCTGAAATAATCTTAACTAAACAAAGGTGAATAATAATTATATGAAAATAATTTTTATTAAATTTATAATTCATCATATATATGATTTTGATGATTATATAATCTTCAATATTGCTGATGTGACCAATTTGAACAATGAATCTTAAACATAAAACCGCATTAAACATTTTAACTTTACGTCTAAAGTCCAACGAGTGGAAATACAATACCAGTATTTCATGTCGTATTTTTGCATTTCATGATAAGATGTTTATGTTAATATAATAATTTTCCGTGATTTTCTGTTATCTAGCTACAAAACATAAAAAATAAATCTGAAAGAAATAAAAATAATCAGAAATAATTAAGTAAGAGAAGTCAACATGTTTTTTGGAAATCGTTTTAAACTGTATATAATATCTTTTTACAAATAAAAAAATTAAATATTTAATCTCTGATTTGAAAAGTAATTTTTGTATTGGTCTTCATTAAACAAATGACATAACCCTACAACTCTTTGTATGTTTTACTAAAGTGTACTGGGATTGGTGGCATATATTTGCTATGATTATAGATTGGAATTGATTGCTTATTCTAAGATAAATATTAAAAAATTTATCAAAATAAAATTAATTAAAATTATTTTTCTCGTTCATACAAAAATTTAATTACATAAATAATCAATTTAATTGTTGTTATGTGCAATTTATATTTTTTATATAATTTATATTTTTTTCTGATTATATGTATTATAATTTTATATTATATTATATTTATTGATATAATTATTTATTATATTTATCCGCTGAATCTGCTAACATCATATTAGATCTCCCAACTCCCCACCACTCTCCCAATGCCCAGCAGTTCCCTACTAGCTTTTTCTTCTTGAGCTGCATCGACATTACATATAGATACAAAACATTACGTACCACAATAATGTGATTTTATGTACTTTTAAATAATAATACATTATACATACAAGTTCAGGAACGCTGTTCGCTCGCTCGTGACGGCACAGCACGATTATATCAACTCATTTGGTCGGCATTTTGGTTGTTGAAATCATTGGTGGCGCTGGTTGTGGGAATTCCGAATGCGAAACATGCTCTCCGACTATCTGCGGTCGGCGTTTTTGTCGATTTTCGGCAACCCTGAAGTTGACGAGCTCAGGGAGGCCATCGGGAACCTAGAAGACGAGAACAGGACGCTGAAAAACGACCTGGACGCGTCGCACGCTGAAGTTGACAAACTCAGGGAGGCCATCGGGAACCTGGAAGGCGAGAACAGGACGCTGAAAAACAACCTGGACGCGTCGCACGTGCAGCTGAAAACGACAGAGCAGTTGCAGAAGCAGACCCTGGTTGAAAAACAGCACTTGAAGGACCAGGTTGAAAACTTGAAGAGGCGACTGCAGGATTTGGATAGCCAGTGCCAGTTCAAGCAAGACCTGAAGGTTGCCTGCCAAAGGGCATTCACTGAAAAGCATTCTGAAATTGTACAGGTTGGTTCGCAATTGTCGTTTTTCCTGTAAAATCTCACAAGCGTTGCCCCCCTAGTGAAATAAATAAATTTTTAAGTGATTTGGCTGAATTTTTTTAGTAGGTTTGTTGGAATTGAGAGAAAAAAATTGCTTGATTGAAAGTGTGTTCCTCAAGAAATGCGTTAAGAAGTCAATTAAAATCCAAGATGTATAATTATTGGACCCTCATGCGAGTGATCACTAGAGCTAAATAATTATTTTATTAATATTGTTGGAAAAGACAGGGCATATATATTTATGTAGGAATATTACTTTTCTCCAAAGCATCATTTTTATGGTCACCAAATAATGGAGTATATAGTTAACTTTTGACCTTTAAAAATTGACCCATAAACCTCTCATTTAAGTATTATTTTCAGGAAAATTTAGATGAGTTGCGTTTAAGTTCATCAAGTCATGAAAATTAACTAGTAGATTAAATATTTTCCTTATCTATTCACATAAATATTGATAAATATATGATAACATAGATCATAATTTACCTTTTTTAACAATAAGGCAGCGTGCTCAAAACACTCGGAGGATTGGATTTACTCTTGAAATGTTTTTGCTGAATTTTATGAATTTTTTATAGCTGATAGCGCATGCAGAGTTGACTACCAGCCTGGACAAGCGCACTGTCCTAGACCTGAAGCAGCAGCTGAAGATGGCGGATGACGAAGCCAAGGACTCTGTCTACAAAGAGCTGCTTATCAAGGATAAAATGAAGAGGGCTCTCAGGGGCAGTCCCAAAGAGTTAGAGCAGATAACATGGTATGCCCATGACAGAAAGAGCCTCGTGCTTGCGAATGACTGTAGGGTGGCCAGGAGGCCAGCCAGGGCCAGAGTTTGTGAGGAGGAAGAGGAAGTGAAAAAATGGGAAAAGGTGAAGGATGTCTGGTGGAATGCAAAGTTGGCCAAGACGACCACCAATCAGAAGATGGGCAAAGTGGAAAAGTTGACCATGGGCGTGGCAGAAGCAATCAAGCTTCTGGAGGAAAATGAGGAGAAGGTCCAGAGGCTGCGCAAGGAGCTGCAGGCCCTGAAGACTTACAAGCAGGTCATGGATGATGTGGTGATGGCCAAGATCGGTGCCATCATGACCAGCATCCAGTCTGGAAGAAAAGCTAAGTAGTAAAACAAAAGAGGAGGCAGCATGTAATTTTCATTCATTAAAATAATTCAAATGTAAAGCATTTTTTAAACAATGTTTTATGATTTTTACCAGAATATAAATAATTTTTTTTTCTTTTGCCAAGATCTTTTTCAGTAGGTTCCTTTTTTCATATTTAAAATTTATTAACTGAATTCTATTGCAAACAATTATTTTAATATCATGAAATATTCGGAACTTTTAAAATTCTCCAAAGATTTAAAACTTTTGCTGTTTCGAGAAGGTTCTATCCATTTTGAAATTAAATCCTTTCTAGAAATTAGTTTTGAACTTAAGGTTCTATTCGAGATTAAATTTCATTGTAAATGTTCATTTCAAATGCATTATTTTGAATTTTTAGACATTTTCACTTTCCTTTTCAGTTAAGTGAAATAACAACAAGAGTGACACAAGTTTTGTTGTTTTGGACGTCATTTGATGTTGTTTAATTGTGTGTGCGCCGCGGGGTTGTAATTTACAGATGCCCATTCCCACTGTGGGAGTGCGACGGCCTCCTCGAATGGACCAGCACTCTCTCCGCAGTAATGAATGGCCTAACGAGCCACTTTGTTATCAGCGGCCTCGCGTTTGATGACGCCATTATTTACAGCACAAACGCACGCAACAAAGCAACCTCTTGTGCAATTTATTTATATCCGCCCAAAAATTTATCATTTCCACCGCAGAAATGCCTCCGTATCGATTCGCGCCAAAAATCTGGAAAAGTTTCTTCAGCTAGCAGAATTTTGGTCTCTCAAAGAAAAGAAAAAGCCACTCTGTTGCTCTTTTCTTTTGTTACCGGCGGAGACAAAGGGGAATACAAATTATCGCCAAGGGGACCAATAGCTTGATTTACGAGACGCACACCGACTTTGACAAACAAAAGTGCCAAAACGCTGACGAGGCGCCAGAAACGCACTTTTCTCTTGTTCTCCCGCGGGGCTGCAGCAAAGTCGCACTTCAAACAATTCCGCAGCTATATTGATTTTCCCTCGTAATTTGTGTTATTTTCCAAAAGGAAATAGAGGATTTGGCAAAATCGTTTTGGTTTCTGAAGAGTAAAATGCACGTTTCAAATAATTCAAATATAAAATATGGAAAATATAACAATTTTTGTTCTAGTACTGCGTGAATGTTATGTGGAAATTATTAATTCGGAAATTGTTCAGTAATTTTTGGGATATAAATATTAATGTTGAAACTTTAATAAAAACATGCCAAATTATAACTAATTTTTAATAACATATCAAATTGCATTCCTTGTTTCAGCAAACTTCTTTTTTTTTGTATATATTTTGTTACTTTTTTTTTCATTATTTACAAACAATCTGTATGAATGATTTAAGTGGGTCAACATATTTTTCCCATTCAAAGATCTCCTCAATGAAATATTTATAGCAAAGATTGTCAGGAACAAAATATATAAATGTTTGCAATTATCAATTTTTACACTTATGGTGAATGATTAAGAGAAAATTTATTTCCCATCAAATTCCATTCTATCCCAATTGATCGTTACCCTTTATTTATTAAAATCAAAGAAATTGGGGGATATTATGGTGAGCACAAAACGAACAGCATGGTTGACGATTGTATTGATGGACGCAGTTGTGTACAGAGCGTAAAACGCGCTCTTTGGCAGATACGTCAAAAAGGTGCCAAAGGGGTGGTCGGCTTTGCAGTCCGTTTGTGACGCACCGCACTTTGGCAAACAAAAAGCGACATTTATTTGGATCGACAAAGTTGTCACTCGTCCTCATTAATGCAGGGCAACACCGCAAAACCGGCGGCGACCTTTCGCACACACGCGGCATTTAAATAAATATTGAATAGGTCCGAATGCGGCCCAAAGCCAAAGGGAATAAAAATGATGTATCGGTCGCCGTTGGCCGACTTTATTGTTGTGGCCGCCGTATTAGATGTGTAGCGTCATAAAACCACCCGCGGCTGGATTAATATTTCACTAGGCGTCGTAATTGCCAGGAAATGCGAATGGGAAAATTGCTCTTGCGGCTGGTTTAATTGAGTGGCATTGGTGATTAAAACCGAACGGCCTCTCTGTGCACTGCGCCATTTTCCGTTCCCTTTTATTCTTCCTAAAATGTCATTTTAATTGGAAATCCTCATAATCTGCTATTAAAAAAAAAAAATATTAGTTTATCGTCTGTAAATAATCACAACAAATACAAAATATAACAAACAAGACATATAATTATTTAATTATAATTTTATTTTCAATAATTAAATTTATTTTTAGTTCTCAAAATTTTTTATGAAAAATAATTGTTTCTTTTTTTAAACTTATAATAATTATTTTTTAATTTTATTTATAAAATAATAAAATTTTTCCATTTTTATTTTAGAATAAAAAATAAAAAATTTTACCATTATTTTCAAATAATTATAGTGATATAGTCGTAAAAGTTTAGACAATATATATTGATGTGTATCTCTTTATCACTTATAAGTAATAAATTAAATTTGGAATTGTCTTCGATGCAGATTCATACTTTTTCCATGATCAGAAAATTAATTAAAAATATGATGACTGCTTATTCGCATTGAAATCAGAAACGTCTCTTCATTGTGTTCCTAAACTGAATTGGGTGCATGGCTTTTGAAAGCAACCTAGATCCTAGAACCTAACCTGCAAAACCAAGCTTCAAACGCCACCAACTGGAAATCGACGTCTCCAACAGTTTGTAAAACATAAATTAACAAAGAGTAAAGGAGGTTTAAATATTAAAGAGTACTTAATTAAGTGTACTGCATGCTTCCTTATTCCGCACACAGATATAAATTAAATTATTTAAAATTCAGAGGTTTTATTACTTTAAGCATTTTATGTTAATTATACAAAGTTTTTTAGTATATTGTATCAAAACTTTGGCCTTGCTTAATGAACATAAACTGTTGAAATAATTTTACTGAAACTGAGAAAAGCCCAAACGTTCAAAGGTTTATTTTGACACAGCCGGCCCCTCATTTTTGTCGCTGATCTCGCTCATTTTGGTGGCACATTTTGATGTATAAAAAAATGACAGACAGTTTTATTGCCGCTCGTAAACACAGTAGCCTCGCGTGTAAATAATCACAAAATCATCACCGCCATCGAATGCAATTTCGCGATCATTCATCAAACTTTATGACTGGGAAAAAGCAGAGGTGAAGCTGTTCAGTATGAAAAGGACCGCCGAGCTGCTCTGCTGACGCACGGCGCGCATTAATATTGTTTACACCAAGTTCAAGATCTCATGCGGCGGCCTGTGTGTTTGGAGCTGCTGGAAATAGAGCAGACCCACAAGAGAGAAAGTGTGTGTGCACCCTCTGAGGTGTATCTTTTGGGCGAGTTCGAGACTCGGGATTGATTACTTTGGCCCGGCACTGAAAGGTTTCAACAAATGTTTTGCCCTTCCAAAGAAACTTCCAGACCACACTGACAATTGCACTTGTCCTTTTTTCTTACAAACCTGTGCGACTGGGCGAAAGTGTTTTTTACAATACAGTCCCAATTAAGAATAAAAAGTGGATCATTTTGTGGGGCAAATGTAGATATTTATTATTATTTGCCGCTATTTGCAATAATAAACAGAAGGGTGTTGATTTTTAAAGTTCAGAAAAACAGCTTATTGACTATTGAGAATTAGTTTCTTTGCAGTAAATTATACAAAATATATAATAAATGACTTTTTGTGGAAATCATTTTCAGTGGAAGTAAATCTCAATTTCACAATCATATAATTTTTTTTTTTAATTAAGAATGGAAATTTAGCATTCATTGTCAGATAGAAAATTAGAAAATAAATTCTCAATTTGGCCAGAAATGCATAAGTCTGAAAAATTATGAAATTTATGATGTGGTATAAATTGAAAGGCTCAAAATTTGAAGTAAATTTAAATGCAGCTTATTAATTTATTATCAAGTGGATTGGAATCGCATTTAAAAAATAAAATTAAATCTTATTTTCTGTTTCTACTTAAATGAAAAACTCGTTAAAGGGTTCTTTATATTAATCTGAATTTGTTGTAAATATAATATTTCTAATCAAATACCAACACGTAATTAGCTACAAATTTATTAAATTTAATATAATTTTATATATAATAGAAAGTTTTATATTCAGTCACCATAGCGTACGTACATAAAAATATTACCATGCTGGAAAATTTTTAATTCTATAGAGTTTTGAAGTTTTAAATTAACGCTGAAAGAATCCTCAAATGTGTAGAAATTTAATTTTAGAGGTTTCTTGAGTTTCCTTGTTGATCTCAATCAAACTTAAACGCTTTGAAGGTTTCCCTCTGCTGACAAAGTGTAATTGATATTTGTCGAAACTATTAAATTTCAAGGCAAATAAAGCTTTTGTATACAAGAACTGACATCGCATCGATAACTCTGCGAAAATATTTATTTCCCTGACAAGAACGTTTCCTTCCACCAATTTCAATATTTTCACTTTCTTTTTAGCAAATAAAAAAATACACACGCGGGAGTTGTTGCGAGTTAGTATCAAAGAGGAAAATTTACTTTGGCTCGGCCATACAAGAAGAGAGCAATTTGCCATCTCATCTCTCTGCTCTTCTCCTTTGAATCCACACATTTGCCCAGCATCGCGGAGAACTCGCTTCGCTTCTCTCTCACTTGAACAAGTTCATCTCGACAGAACGGCAGCGTGCGCGCGAGACTAACTGCTTGCTCAGCTCCTTATCAACTCGTTCTTCTTTCAAAGGAGTCGCGCCGCGGCAATGGCCTGGAAAATTAATTCCCATTCATCAGGCGGTCGTTACCTTGGCGCTTGGGGCCTTCCATGTATTGACACAATGTCCGCCTCCAATTAATTTTGATGCCAACTCGAGGAACGCGAAGTTTTGTTTGTTCCGTCGTGGTCAGAGAAGAGAAGATCTTCAAAGCTGTGCGTGGAAACTTGCAAGTTTTGAGATTGTTTAACGTTCAGGTCTTTGAGGGGAGCCAAAATTTGTCAAAAGATCCCA